TGCCAGTTCTTCTTTGAAGCACTAACTGCATGTTTTGAGTTTTCAAGGAATGTAATTTTCTGCCGAACCGTTTCTCTTTTTGGGCTGTTCAATCTACGTCTATCGCTGTCAAAAATCATGGGTCGAAGAGCTCCTCAAGGCTGGATCCCCAGCCATGGCAAGGAATTGTCGCTGAGAGCAACGTATCTCAAATCCCAGCAAAACCCTGAAAGATAAAAACATTAAAAATATGTGAGTGAACTAGGTTGAAATTGCTGGTTCCTTGATTGGGGTGGTCTGGAAAGTCTCAGCATCGGCTTGCAGTTCAGGGGATGATTCTCGCATCCGACGTAGATGTTCATGATTCTGTTGGTACTTCGATCCCTTCACCAAACTACGTGCCACATGTCTGCCTCGAGAGCCCTAAGGCAGCCCTGAAACCCATGGCTATGTTCAGAGTTCAAGGATTTTTCAGCCAACAGCGATAGCCTGAAACTTGCACGAAGCACACGCCAATCTGCATAATTAATAATCATTATACATCCCCCCGATTGTGACACCACTGCGATGGCACACTTGTTCACCTCTTGCTGCTTTTGTCTTTGAACTAAGTATCACAATAGGCGCATCTGTTGATCTGCGCTCGTGGTTCCGATACATCAGCTCCGATTCAACTCTGCTCCTTCCAACCAGCAAGAATGCAGGAAAAGGATTGTGTGACAATTCGACACATCGTGCTTAAATCACGACAGGACCTAGATTCATTGCAACTCCGGCGAAAGGGTCCTGAGAAGACAAATCTGGTGATCTTCGCGCAACTTCGCACCTGAAAACCCTTGCATATGCCATCCCGCCACCGTGTATTCAAATGGTGACAAAGTCATGGTCAAACAAGTTCCTGCTACTTGCCGTTTGCACTGTCCAAATTAATGCTGCAGGATAGCTTCCACTATCATGCTGAATATATCTGAAAATCCTTTTTCTTAAGTGTATTCGACTGATCCCAGGATAATTCCACAACCAAATCTGTGAAGAGTCCAATGAGTTGCATGATGTTGCATGTCATAGCGTGGCTTCAAGGTGCCCATGACGCCCATGACCACAACAGATTTGAAGCTTCCAACATCTACCATTGTCTGCCCACCGACAAAGTTAGCAAACAATGTGTGCTGTTATACCCGGTCCTAACAACTTGCACCTAGTTTGCAGCAATGCCTGCAAGAACGTTGATTCCATCAATCATCCTTCCACTTGGAACACAAACTCTAGACTAGGGATGCCCATGTATCATTACATAGAGGTTGTTGTCCGGTTTACTGTACGAAACAAAAGCAACACTGAATCCAAAAGAACGAAGCATTGATGCCTGCTCTTGTTCTCATGTCACCGTGCGCTCCCTGGACCACGTGCCCGCAGCACTTCCAGCCGACCTGCAAAGAAAACTAAAAGGACCGATTCTCACTAAAAGGTGTGACATCTTCCTGTTGTGATCTCAATCTTTGAGGGGGCGACGCCGACGCCACTTCAGCATCTCTAGAGTAACTGACCAACATTATGCCCATCACCTGTCACAAGCCATCTAGATTTCTGCCTCCGACCGTGCCCCGAGACTCCAAAATGAAAACTCGAGGGCAGGGTCCCAGTGTTGGCATCGTGCGCAATACATAGACTACTGCTTTGAAGCATTCTACAACTACAAAATTGTCTGGTGTTTTGTTGCACTGAAGTCTCAAAGAGCAACCCAAAGAAAGTTGAAAATATAGAAACATCAAAGTCTGACCTTTGGATACCTTTTGTCTAAAACTTGGACAAGGGATTTTTTCTCTAAACCACCAATGTGTTTTTCTCGTGAAAGCTTAGGTGGGCAGGCCGGCGCAGCCAACTGGTGGGCGCTAGCCATTCAACAACAAATCACCAGTGTGGCCCCTGAAACATGACCAAGGAACAGCTGAATCAAGACCCCATTGTTGAAGGTGAAAGAATCTGGGAAGCATTTATTCGTATAGTATAGGATCAGATAGGATCAGTGTTCACTTAGGGTGTACAGCTCAAGGACGGTGTTCGCTTTGAATGTCCAAAAGTCATGTGTTGAATCTCGCCCATCTCACCCTTCCCAGCTGAGCAGCCCGACAGCAAGTTAGGCTTTGTCAAGGCGACGACCAATAGAAGCAGTCTTTTGGTGACACGCAGCAATCACAGCACCAAAATGAATCTCGTCGGCTTGCACCTGTCACAATTGCGAATGCGAGCCCGGCATCTACACCAAAAGTTGGCACACAAGAAGGCCTCCAAATGCCAGAAGTCACCTTGGTGGTCGAATTTTGTTTCTAGCTGAGCTATGCTGTGAGTACGTCGAGGCTCATGACCATACTGAAAACATGTCGCAGCGGTACTTGTTCTTTTCAGCGGCCAGTTCACCCAAAGCAGCAAAACAAATGCAGCAAGCAAAACACAACACAGCCCAGCACGGCCCGGTCACAGTCACGGCTGCTTGAGAAGCACGACCAAACGCTAGCCAAAGAAAGCCCAAACGCAGCTGAACAAGCTCCAACAAACCTGGAAGAGCCCATTTCGAAAGCGTCTAGGTTGGAGGCCATCGCTATTAGGGATGGAGGCCATCGCTAGTAGGTTGGAGGCCATCACTATTAGGTTGAAAGCTCAAACAAGCCTGGAAGAGCCCCAAACGGACCATTTCCAGATGGGAAACAGCACACGGTCAAGCTGCTGCAGCCAGCATTGTATCCCTACGAGAGAACCCCAACAGTCAGCAGCATATGGTTGTAACTATTTACATAATACGTAACTATTATGATATACACCTATATGTATTTCTATATGATCCTGAATGTGTACAAACATATCATGGCTTTGACAAGTTCGTTTTCGTCACAATGGGAACCCTGCCAAGCTGCCAAGGGTGTTGAGAGCCAGCTGCCAGCAAACTGCTTTCTCGAGGGCACACAGGGCTGCACAAAGGCCTCATTTACGGCATTGTACTGTGTGCAGTATGGTATTTGTTGCCTCTATGTCCAAACTGCAAGTATGTCCTGTCCAAGTAACTAATGGCATCTGGCTGCACCAGCATGCAGAGGCTTCCCAAAAGTGCCAACGTTGAGGTCCACTCATGCTCTGTTGCGCAAGCTGTCATGGCTGCACTGAAACTGGCCTTGTCGGAACGGAAACGTCTTCCCCTCATGGATACCAAAGAGAGGTTGGCCAGTTGCCAACGCCCAAGTGCGGTGATCCCGCTATTGAGCAGAATCTGGTCGCAGTGACTTGCAGCAAGAATAGCAACCACCAATTGCCATTGATTGCTGTTCTTTGTGGCAGAAACAAGAGCACTTGTGCTTGTTGGACTTGGCTGCATGGTGAACATCCAGAGCTCACTAAGGCCCTGCAATGCCAACTCCCACTCTCCGGCCTTCTCACAACAATACATGCAAGAATTCGCTGCCACCAAATTGCTCTGAGTGGCTATATTGGCCAGCTCCTTTTTTAATGACAGTGCCAGCTGCCAATGGAACCCATCAGCGCAGGAACTGATTGTTGCGCTTTGACCTGGATTGCAGCAATCAAAACTGGGGTGAAGCACTTTAAATTGCCAAGCCAACAAAAGAATACAAAAGAATGTTTTTTGTTCTAAACCTAGTTGAGCGTTGTTCGAAACCTGAGGATTGGTTCTAGTCTTAGTGGGTACTTACTTTACTTCGCAAGTTCCTTTCGCAACACTTTCGCTGCTTGTGTTGGCATTCGCGGGCTGCATTCTGCGTAAAGCCACTCTCACGAGCTTTCGACACCGAATTGATTTCGCAAGCTTCCACAAGCGCTCGCACAATCTCTCGCGAATCTTTCGCAACTGTGTGCTTGCCTTTCGCAAAGGCATCTTACATTAACCCCTCTTCAAACTGTTACATGGGAGGTTTTGGCCGCTGCTGAGTTGACTGAAGTGGACTGAAGCCCGGACTTATGACATCTGCACGCATGTTGGTTGACAAGTGCATCACTGCAAGCAAGTGCACAGCCTTCAGCCAGGTCATTGACTTCTCGCATGCACTGATGACCTGACTCAAGATATGAGAGGTGGTGGACTACAACTACTGATGGAATCTAAAGCCTTTGTAAGCTTGTTTTCAACGCTGGGCTGCTAGGCTTCTCAATTGGAATGTCTTGTGGTTCATGCCAAGGCACGGTATTGTAGCTCACATCATCTAGATCAAGCCAAATGGTGTGCCCACCACTCACCAGTGCTAGAGCTGGCTTCCAGTTACCCCGAACCACACAGGTACTTGCCAAGGCATTGAAGGTGATGACATTTCGCTGGACCGTGGCCTCGCAAATCTCCTGCTGCGTTCTTAACGCAAGCTGCCACATCCCCCTTTTCCTCAAAGTGGTCAACATCACAGTGCAGGACAAAGAATCCAGCTTGATGCCAAGGTTCAACATTCTTGCAAAAGCATCATTGGCTTCTTTCCACAAACTCTGGCGTGTTAGCTCTCTAAGATTTTTTGTGGCTTGAATGACCTCGCACTTTGAGGTGTGCCGGTGCTGCCTCACGTCAGCTCTGTAGACCATCAAAAACGGTTTCAAACGGTGGGACCATGGTCACACGCAGTTGCCTCACGTGCTGGTTCCGCTTGGCATCATCATCTGATCCGCCAGGCGCATGCCACGCATGCCTTCCCGTGCTCCGCATCTGAGTCTCCCCGTCACGACTGGACCATGTTGCCAAGTGATCGTCTTCGGCCAAAGATCTGAAGGAGCAAAAGTTACAGCAGACATCAGTCACTACTGTATCCTTCAATTTATTGACGTTCGCTGCAAGCAAAGTGACATAGACGAGTCCGCGCCCCGTTTTAAACGATAAGCATTGTGACATTGTGTCTGCGGATGTGGCAGCTATAAACAACGACAGGCAGTGACCTTCTACTCACACAGTGGTATCAAACCTGAGACCTCTTTATCTAGATGTATATATACTGTAACTATATATATATATTCTCGTAGTCTCAATATAGTATAAACTTGGCTCGAGAGGGTCTTGTCTGCACTGTCTTGAAAAAGATCTGCTGACTGATCACCATTTGTCCATGGCATCAAAGGCTGCTTTCCAGGCGGTCTGCTCAACCTGCTCATCAACGAACAAGCGGTGTAAATCAAAACGTCCACTTCTCAACCACTGAGGTGTCCATTGATGTCCTGTTACGTCAAAGGGAAATGCCTTTGGCTCAACCTGTGAGGAATTTGACGACAGAAACTGGAAGAAGTGGATCTCAGGTGTTGCATAGCAAGGTGAGCGAGCAATCTGGTTCAAGTGATCTGTTGGTTCCTGCAAAATGGCTGGCCATCCCACCATAGGCCGGCCGACTCAACATGAGACGTGCTGAATTCCTGTGCATTTCCGGGCCTTGAATGAAGTATAATATAGTATAATACAACGTTTGTTCAAAGAAGGGCAGTGGATGGTCCGAAGAATCTACCGCAAGTAGTTGGCTTTTGCTCTTAGATTTCTCACACAACGCGTCCCTTCTGCGTCCTTTCTGTCCTTCTGTTCTCTCACACACACACATCGCTTGCCTCAATGAAGCTGCTGTTGTTAAGCTTCGCTTGTGCAGCAATGGAAGAAGTGCTTCCTTGGAATCTTTGGTACCTGCAAATTCAGTCCAACTTTATGTTCATGCCTGGTTCATTTCCTAACCACAATGCTTCCAAGGGTTCCTTAATCAGAAGAATGGGATCGTTTTCAGGTCACGCATCTTGATGAGACCGGCTTGACCGGTGCTCTAGACACCGGGTCCAGCTGCCAGAGATGTTGCAAAGCCCACAACGAAAGCCTGGCTCACCATTTGGAAAGCGTGGGACAGGCAGTGTCAGAAATATGCACACGTACAACATACAAAATATACAACCAAGGATGGAGGACGTCTTTTGGAGATGGTCATTCCTTCACGCCCCAGCTCATGCCCTTGCACATGCGGTGATGCAGTTGCAAAAGTCTAACAAAACTGGGTGTAGCTTGCAAGCAACCACTCACTGCTGCCTTCAGCACGCAAGCTGGCCACGACTGTCTGTGCAACATCCCGAGAGTCCAAGTGCTGCTTGGCCTTTGCACGGCAGGGCAACTAAGCCTTAAGAGTCACCTTTAGTATGGCCTCCAACCTAATAGCGGTGGCTTCCAACCTAGCGATGGCCTCCAAAATAGCTCTGTCTCTCCAAGTACTAGTACAAAGCAAAAGCCTGCTACTGTGAACTCGGTGTCGCATGAGTGTGCCTCTAGCGAAGTCCGATCAAGGTGATTCGCAAGCGGCTTCCTTGGAGATATTGAGATGCAGTGACAGCCATTTTGTCCCGAGAATGTTGTGCAAGAACTTTGCTGTGTCATTTGCCCCGTTTAGCTTTGGCAAGGCACCTATGCTGAGTGGAAATTAAGTGCAGGGCACAGCTTTGTCACCTGACCGCACTGTATACTAGTCCGAAACTGAGTCCTAGTCTCTCTGGGTAACCGACAGAATGCGCACCAAAAACTACCATCGGCCTCACAGTCAGTCGAAAACAAAGCTCGAATGTACTCCCACGTGTGCATGAAATATGACCAGGCCTGCACCTTGATGCCTTCACTTTTCAAGGCTTCGGCATTCAAATGATCAAAGACCTGTCCAAGTCACGAGTGTGAAGAAACGTTTCTGACACCTGGAATAGTTTGGCACATTGCCGGATGCGGGAGTTTTGGGCTGGATGAAGACAAAAAGCTGTGAAGCTGGCGGCAAACTGTCCAATAAAATGAAAGTCATGTGCAGAATGGTCTTTGTCAACTCTTGCACTACCCCTCCTCGTTGTAGAGACTGAAATTGAATCTATATATATATATTATATAGTCGTTCGGGCTCTGAAAAAGAGGCATGATGTTGGCTAATGAAGGCATGCACGGTGTCAGATGGCTTGCAAGTTCAGCAGTGACATGAAACAATGTGGGACACAGCATTCTACTGATTAAGGCGCTAGGGCTGCTTGTGCAGCTTGTGCCACTGCTGTGTGTGTCGTGCTGGTGCTGGTGGTAATTGCTGCTGCTGGCAGTGGTGGCAATGACAATCCAGGCAATGTAAATAAATATGTAAACAGTGCAAAGCACTCTAACTAGCAGTTTTCCGCATGACCGCTTTTTTTTGCATTGGCAAATATACAATGTGTTTGCTTCATGTTCCACAGCCTCTGCTGGTGTGGAAGCTGACAGTGTCAAGATGGATGGCAGAGGCCTCCAGAAAGGCAGAAACAAAACTAGAAACGAGCAAGTAGAGTAGAGGGTTCTCTGGGATCAAAACCATGGGAAGTCCACATCTGGTTGAGGAGGTATGCGTGGCTTCCACTGCAGGGATGACCACCTAGTGCCAATCCAGCTGAATGAAGCTCTAACGCTAACGGATGTGGAGGCTGCACCACTTCGCAGACTTAGCCACCCACTTTGGTTCTGCCAAGCCAGCTATTCTTAGCGCCCTTTCCAATTCCTGACCATGTGCTGCAGGCAGAAAAGCACATTACTGAACAAAGCAACTGACTGGCTGGCCTGCTGCACTTGAGCAGGTCTGCTTGCTTTTGCAGCCCAGTCGTCAAACAAAAGATGCCAAAATGTACGACCCACCTGCAAGGAAGTTGATGCACTTTTGCCACAAAAAACCACTCAGCTCCAAAAAGCTGCACCTGCCCCTCCAAATCAGCACCAGTATTTTGCTCCTGCTGATGGAAAGCTGTCTGCTGATTGCGTATAAAGGATGAAATAGACTAAGGCACTAACCAGTGTCAAACGCTGAATCTCACCAACCCAGACCTGACACGACAGGATCTCCAGAAAACCACTTACTTAAGTTTATCGAGTCAGTCTGAAGCCCGCCAGTTCCCCGCCCCACCTTTGCCAGTTCCGACAATTGGCTAGAGGTGGAATGCGAAGTCAGGGACCTGGGAAGCTTCAAAGCAGAGGTCGAGATCACTTAGCTGTGGCGATCTCCAGACTCAAAGGTCTTTTTGCCAAGTCGCGTTGACTGCACAGCAAGGTCTCGGTCTGCCGCTACCAGGCCTAGACCAATGATAGGAAAAACTACGAAGGCACAAGCTGTTGTATGTTCCTTATGGCTTCATGCGGAAGGGAATCGTCGCCCTATTCGATTGAACCACCCGGTCAGAAGCCCTGCATCAAGTTTGCTCGCTCTTCAGTTGCGTAAATGAATACAAACAGTATCCACACTGGCCAACACTCACTCTTTATGGTGACTTCGAAGATCTTTCGGGGGATCATCTCCGCCAGAAAAACTGATGATGGACTAAACTGTGCTGTACAAGTAGTAACTCTAGTATTGCACATGCGGTTGCGAGAAAAACATCCGGCATTATTTCAACAGTACCTTTGGCTCTGTTTTGCCAGAAGGTTTGGATCTAAGGACTGGTGGGGCTGGATCGGTGTGGGTTTACGTGATCCGTTTTCTTAGAGCCCAAAATATCTTTGTGGAAGTCCGAAAGCCGGAGGTCCCGGCGATCTTGAATTGCAGACCAAAGGTTGACATTGCGAGCATGGCCCGCACTTGCAAAGTGCTCCAGGCCTCAGCTGAAAGCGACGTCGACTGCAAACAACCGTAGTCCATGTTTCTAATATGCAAAATTGGACTCATGTCTGCTATTAGGTTGGAGGTCATCGCTAGTAGGTTGGAGGCCATCGCCGGTGGGTTGGACAATGTGTATCAAAGCTTGGCAGCTGACCATGTGCCTTACATAGCAAACACACCGGTTCGCCTGTCCCAGGCCAAAAGAGCGGTTGTCCAAATGAGCAAAACGCGGCGGGCCGTTGAGGTCGATCTCCACATATGGCACGCTGCCGGAGTGGGGCTGCCCCCTGAAGCCAAAATAGAAAGTCTAAAAAGTCGATGTCAGCAAAGCCTGCAATCATGTCTTCTAGGTGCCCACCTCGTCAAGTCTTCTAGGTTGCCTTGCACCTTGGGTAGCTTGTCCTTGGTTGGCAGAATGAGTCATGAGAGTTAGAGAAAGACAGGACACTTACTGGTCTAAGTGGTCCAAGTGTCCTCTGCTAAGGTGGGCGGATACATCCATTGTGCCGGGCCGTGCACGACCCTCTTGCAAAAGTAGAACAAACCTGCAGGAATGGTACAAAGCCATTCTCGATCATTCTCGTCAAAATGCCAAGGTCACAAAGGCCAGAAAGAATATCTGATGTTCAATCCAAGTCGGGTGCCAACATTTCTGGAAAAAACTGCTTCCTGGCATCGCTTGACACATGCACTGCAAAATCAAGATTGTGGTTCATAAGGATGCAGAACCTTGCAAGCCACACCCAATCATCTGGTGGCGAGCACAAAGGACGCAGAAGTCTGAGGTCACCATCTGAGCACCACGCCTGGCTTCGTAGTCCAAAGTCAAGCAGCATTCAGCGTGAACCAAGGGCACAAAGCTGCTTCGACTCTTCGACAACAGTCGTAGAGTGCAACAAAGCAACTTCAAACCTGCATTATCGGGCCTTCCAAAGCTTCTCTGCGAAACGAGTAGGAAGCCCCACTGCAGCATTCGCCTTGCTGCGCTTCATCATGCTTCATCAACATGTGGCTGAACCAAAATGTCGCAGCTAAGCTCGCCTCCACAGGATCTCCTTTCAATATTGAGACGATGACCCCTGACATCATGAACATCTGTGAACATCAACTGAAGCTTCAGAGACCCTTTTTGAGAGCTAGTTTAAGGCGGCGCACCTCTCTGGTCAAGAAGCTTGAAGCAAGTCTCGAGTCTGGGAAGCACGCAAGCGCAAGTTGCTCAAGGCTCCAACGGGCAAAAACTGGAATTGTTACAAGAGCTCACGGCAAAACGGGCAAGTCTAAAGGCAATGGCATGCAACGGCTCAAGAACAATGAGAGACGAAAAAAAGATACGGCAAGTCCCAGGGGAGTCTGTTGGTGGCTAAAGGTCACCGAATGAAAACAAGAACACCTCAATTTGCAAAAGGTCCAAAAGTGCGAGAACAGTGCGGGAACTAGTAGTGTTCTGTGACGCTTATGCTTCTGAGGCAGAAGCTTATGCTTCTTCAGCCACGAATGGAAGGTTGCGTGGAACGCCGGCTCCAGGCTGTGGTGTTTAACTTTTGCCTGGCAAGAAGCCCTAAAGTCCTAAAGTTGTTCGTGTTTATCTATATAATCAACTGCTTTTTCCTCCAGTTGGCAGTGTTCAGTTTCTCATGGATGCTCAAATATGGAAGAACTGGATCGCAACTGTTTTTGCACCTTTGCATGCTCGCCCACCAGAACCCTCTGTACCTTCTGCTTCAGAATTGAGGCCCACTGTACAAGGAAGCACCATCATTCAAACGTCTTGCGCGATCCACTCTATTTGAGTTCTCGAGCGTGCAGCATTCTGGTAGGTGTGATGTGTAGTTTCTGGACAATCCTTGAGCATTCAAACTCAAACGAATCTGCTAGCGTTCACATCCACCAATTCTCTATATGCAAAAAATATTGCTATGCTATACACCAACATGACGACCTCAAGAATCACTGCGGCATTCAGGACGACACGATGACCTTCAAAACCACATGCACTGGTCCAGTATCCAATGAAAGCAACCAGATCAACAAGGACAAAAAGGTTCAAAAAGTAAAAAACATGTGTCGCCGGGTAGCTTGAGAATGTTTTGTCTGCTTCGTTTCGTCGCCTTTGCAGGTCGGAGGACTTGACTGGAATCTCCGAACAAGAAGCCCTCCTCAAGTTGCTCAACAACGACATCAGGGCCAACCTGGCGAGGGTTTGATTGGAGAATTTCAGCAACAATCGTGAAAGGAGCAAAAAATGATGGCGTGTGTGTGTGTGTGCGCGCGCATCACAACAAACAAATAGGTGAATATCGTGTCCGTGCTCGAAACCAAGCACCTGCATCCAGTTTGAAATGCGACCATCAATGTGAAGAACAAACCTTGAACGTGGCCGCGGCCTGGTCATCTCGCAGGGAGATTGCTTCATGGAGCTGTGGATCAAAAGCCTGACCCATTGACCAAACGACAAGAATGATGTTCAAGACTGGCACACAAATGTTCCAATGGAGTAAGAATTGGAGCTCTCCAGCAAGGTCTGGACACGCATCTTTGCAAGTGTGATCTTGCAAAGACATCCACAATTAATTCTGAGAATACCAATTCAATGCAATCACGTAAGAATTCGCATTGAGCTCCATTGCTTCGTGCTCTGCAGTGCACAAATCATTCGAACCTTGCCCACGGCATTTGGCATTGGGTGGACGCTGAACTCAGTCTCCAGAACTCCCTGATGCCAAGATTACAAAAGAGTGCACGTTCTTTGACAGAAAGGCATGCTTTTCAGGGTGGATTGACCTGAATTGATCTGGATTGATCTGGAAAAGCATCCATTTTAAGTGAAATGGTCAGATTTTCAGGAAACAAATTCTGCGTCCACTCCGAGATTTGGAGTCCAACGGCTCCGGTGTTCATCCAAGCGTCGAGCAAGCGACTCCTTAAAGGTTTCAAGACTTGCTTGAGATCCTCCGGAGACAATCCTGGACAGGCTCAGGCATGTTCCCTGTTTTTTTTTGAGCTTATTTTGGTCTTATGTGTTCATTCCAGATACAAATGTCTTGTACTTTCAATTGACTGCCTGCCATTGGTGGTTCACATCATTGACACAGCGTGAAAGTCCTTTCGCTGCCCCGGCCATTTGTGCTCTCTGCACATCATCCAATACTAGGAGCAGCGGCTTCGCAGCTTTCGCCAGCGCACGCTGTTCGGCGGCTTTGGACTCGCTCTCCACCCGCCACTTGAAGTTACCTGAGTTGCATGTAGTTGCATCCTGGGAAAGTGCTTCTTTTCCCCTTTTGCTGCAACCTTCCGGATTCCACCGCTGACTCTGATTTCTCAGTCCGGTCCAAGTGACGAAATTCGGCTGTTTGTTGTGCCAGCTGCCTTTCCTGTGAGCAAACGAAGGGATCGGGGACGCTCCCCCCTCCTAGGAACAAGGACGCTACTAGGAGCAAAGGGCGTCGCTACTAGGAGCAAGGACGCTACTAGGGGCTCCTGGCCGTACTACTAGGCACAAGAAGCTACTAACTGGGAGCAAAGGGCATGGCAATCGGTATCCATGCCAAGAGACAGCAGCACGCAAGGACTCCAAGAGGTCTTTGTCTTGAGCTGCTCTGTTGTCACCTCACTTGGGTAATCGAAAAGATTGCCGGAACAATGCCAGCTACTGACCGGGGAGTCAATGAGGGGCGCGCTGCTGACAGCTCGGTGTATCTTTTTCGCTTCCTGTTCCAAAATCTCACGCTCTTCAGCAATGTCCTTGGGCAGTCTCTCAGCTGAGCCAATGTCTCCACAAAGAAAGCTCATGGTTGAACAGCACCTCTGTTCACTGAATACACAGACAGTATATAAGTAAAGTTGGTTTATGTATTTGTTGAAGCACCTCTGCTTCTGCTTGAATCCTGCGCCGTTGTGTTTCCAGAGCAGCTCGCTCACGGCGCAAGGCGTCAGCCTCAAAATGGCTGTTAGTAAAATGACACAACAACTTAAGAAATCAAGCAAAGGTATAAACAGCCTGACCTTTCGAGCAAACATGTTGTATTTTAACAGTCCACACCCCAGCTCATCCCCTTAACTACAGGGGTGGGGTAGTGGCCCGCCTGTCCGCCTAGCGTTGAGGGATGCGTCATAGACGTGACTAGACCATACCAGCCCTCTTTTGAGCAAACATGTTTGCTGGTCTTTCAGCTCAGTCTTGCGGACTCACCAGTGCCTCTGCTTCGAGAGCCTCGGCCTTTGTGCGAAGATCTTCCAGCTCCTGCCCTGAAAAACACCAAGTTACTTCGCAAGACATACGTATATAACCCTTTTGCATTTAAATTGTGTTTCGTCAAACTGAAACAGTTGAAGTGGACTCGTAGACTTTGTTGAGTTGCATTGTGTCTTTCTCACTCGTGCCTCTGTCCATGCTCTTCACCAGCTGCTGCCGGGCCACTTGTATTGCCTGCTACCAAAAGAAACCACGCACTCCATCGACTCATCTGTACTCGGCAAAGCAAAGAAAGGAACGCCTCTGCTTGTCGCTTCAACTGCTGCCGTTCCCTTGCCAAAGCGACCTTCATGGCTGCAACTAAACAGCCTTTGCAGACAGTCCCTTTGCTTACAAGCCCTTCATTCATTGACTGCCCCTTTCTGGGCTATCAGTCGTTTAGAAGTCGCCTTGGCCTTTTCTTTGTTCACAGACTCAATGAGCTCTTGATTCTCTTGCCTACCAGACCTCAAGAATCGAATAAGCAACAAAAATGCAGGCAGGCAAATGTATGTGTGTTCACCACAGCTCTGAAATCACTGGCATATGCCTGTGGAGATGGAGCAACGTAAGGAACCAACTGCATAAATGATGAAATGGGAATATGCTTGTCTGGATTTGCTGACCCGTATGGGATCTCCTGCTACTCCTGCTGCTACTACTGCTACTGCTACTACTACTGCTACTACTACTCCTACTACTACTAATAATTACTACTAATTAGTCAAAAAGACTAAAAAGGTAGGAAATCGCATATGTTTGGGCTTTGAAGCAACCTGTTTGGCTGCTGCACCTTTGCAAGGCCCTGGCAGCACCACAACAACTTTTGTTCTGACTAGCAGAAAATGCGATCCTGACTAAACCCCAAGACTGTAAAAAGGCCTGCTGATACAAAAAGATGTTGCAAAGTAAGAAGACCAGAAAATAAATCAAGCGAGTCCACGCTGCGACGCTGCGGGAAAAAATTGAACAAAAGCAGATCAAGGTGAATCATGATTAATCACTTCAATCCAAGGAATGCACACAATCCAAGCGCCCCATCACCTCTGAGCCTTGCACGAGCTCAACTCATCTGCAGCTTCCATGAGTTGCTGCTGTCTAGCTGAAAGCGCCTGCCACGAAGGAGCTCACTCACTCACGGCTCGCTCCGCTCGGCTCACATGGGTCCCACCTCCGACTCTTTGGCCAAGCGCATCTTTTCTTTTTGAAGCTCCTCGCGCTCTCTTCTTAGAGACTCCTCGGCCTTGATTTTGGCCTTCTTGAAATGGATCACCTGATTGCTCAGGTCCTCCTGTGAACGAAGAAATGTCACAAATTCACTAGTAAGGCACCTGTTACTACTAGTAAGGCACTTGTTACTACTAGCGGATCCAATTCCGGATCGGTTCATGATTGACGTTCATTCACCGTTCTGCATGTTTTTTGCTGTGACCGACATGGCAAATGCTAGGTACGGCTCCTCAATCTCTTCCTTCTGCTGTTGTAACACTGCAGCTGTCCTGATCAAGACATGTGGTAGACTTGGGCTATTAAAAAAGAGACGTGATAAAGGCTCGCCTCTGTAATTGTTGCTTCTTTTGGTTCAAGACTGCCCGTTCCCTACGCAAGGAACTTGCAACAGCGGCCAGCTGATCCTCCCAGAGTCAATTTCAGAGCAAAAAGACAGAAGAATGCAACAAACCTCAACTGTCCTGTGCAGCAGAGCCAAAGGGAATAGCTGGTCTAGCAACCCTCCCTCAGCGCCAAAGTCACATATATAGATAGGAAGTCAAATCAGTGGCACAAAAGAATCAAGGCCAAATGCAGGCATGCCGCCTCCAGGTGGTACCCAACTTAACGCTACGGATGAGGCAACCAGAAGGGCTGCAGAAGTCATCGACCTTGGAATATGTCTGTGCAAGGCGTCTCCCATGGTCTCGCAGCATTGATAGGCCCAGGCATGTGTCGAGTTTTTGACGGTGGACCTTAAAAAGGAGTGGAAACGCCCATCCACTGCTGTCACACAAGCAACATGTATTTGAGGCTGTAGCGATGGGCTGAGATCGTGCCACCCATCTTAAAAAATGCAGAAAATTATATCCTGAAATCTACTACTAAGCAAGACTCAAGGCTGTCTGAAATCGAGCCAAAACGAGGCAGCTCTCCACTTTCGGCAAGTCAACCAGTACACAGCTTGAGAGAACAAGCAAGATCTTGCGGCCCATGTTTTATGACTTTATGCATGATTTTCCAGCCTGAGCCTGGCCAAGGATGGCCACAGCGTTCTTTAGGACCGCGGATCTGGTGACAGCGTAGATGCCGACAGGATGACCAAGAGCTGGTCATTATGTGCAAGAGCTGCCTACTGAGCGACTGAGCCTTGTGTGAAGTATTTTGGCTGTAGCAAGTCGAAGGTCCTTGATTGCAGCTGCCTTGGGACAGTGGAATGGCTATTGCAGCTCTTATGCAACAAATCATGAAACTTTGTTCCAGGGACGAGGCAGCTAGTGCGATTGAAGATTTGTCTAGACCTGAGTCAAATCATAACAAGAGCCACACCTTCCAATCAAAAGAATAGTCCAGCATTTCAAACACTATATGCAAAATTTCTTGGAGAACGACCTGGATACTTCGTGTCATCTATGAAGCGTTCCTCACAACTTCAAGATAGTTGAACCGACAAGCTATAGTTATTGGACCGAGTATCCGCAGAAGTGATTGCTGCAGAAACTTCCTGCCACAAAAAATCACAAAAGGACAAAGAGAAGGTCGACAAACGCGATGCCGCGACGTGGGAACAAAACCAGGGATTAGGCAAAGATCTCCACACACAGCTTAACTGCTGCTACTGCTACCACCACCATGAGTGCTGTTGTTACTTCGATCGTCTACCGCTATTGCTTCGACTTTCCACATCTGTCCACCACTTTCACCACCACAACCCCTGCCACTGACAGGTCCATGCAATTTCCTGCTTGAACATACAAGTACGTGTAAATTCATAATGTGCGACAGCGTGCACCCCAGTTCTGTACTGTAAACCCAATGGAACCGTGACCTCAGGAGTCCCTTTCTTTTAATTCAAAGGGTGACAACAAAGGCCTACAGTACCCTTGTGATAAACCTTTTAACTAAAAAACTCATTGAGTGCATTTTTACATTGCTTGATCAAAGTCGGGAGACTTCATACAATTGAGAAGTGCGCCTGCTTCAGGATCAAGAAGAACATCAAGAAGAACGCAAACCAAGAACCGTCAAGGCATGCACTCCTACTCGGTCCTACTCCTTCTTCTACTGCTACTACTGTAATACCAACGAGTACCAACTACCTACTTACCTACTACCTACTAACTACTACTAACTTTTACTAGCGACTACTAGTACTAGTACTAGCACTACTACTACTGCTACTACTACTACTACTAGTACGACTACTGCTACTGACCCTCCGCAAGTCTCAACAGCAACGCTAAACAAAGGGAAACCGAACTGTTCAAACAAAACTCCCTCATGCCTCATGGAGTTATGTTTCTATATCATGAACAAAAAACTGCAGTGCAATACTCATCAAGGCTCAACCCCAAAACCAACCTGTAAAACCTCACTGACACCGTCCAGAAACCCACATAACGTAACCATAGCCCATCATAACGTGATTATACGTCATTACCATAACGTCACTACGCCCCCACCCCACCCATCCCAATCCCCCATGAAGCGCATTCCACAGATCCGCATCCACCCAGACGACGGCATCTCTCCGCAAGCGAGGCTGCCTCCTGACCCATGTCGCCCGACGTTGTTTCCAAACGGGGCGCTACAACTTCACCCACCTCACCTCCCTCCATTGCCCTCACTCCACTACATTCCTCTACACCCTCACACACCACCGGCGCAGAGTTGCCTAGGTCTGTTTTCCCCACCTGCCCTGCGGCACTGCGATGCAAACAGATTCTTGGCAACTCATCCACATACGAGCACACATGGTGCACAATACACACTGCCTGCCCTGTGGCACTGGAACATATGAGCAGGCTAAGGCCCCAGAATGAACCGGCCTGCCCCAAGAAATGCTCAAGATCGGACAGGGCCCAGAACTGACCCTCCGCAAACTCATGGTGAAGCACATGTATTATGTGTACAAAACAAAAACATGACGTGAAAAAGTGAAAAATGAAGAAAACGCCACGGCCATCTATGGCTCTTGCTCCAACTACTAACAACAACAACAACAACAACAAAAACAACAACAACAACAACAACAACAAGGTACAAACAAAAACTGCAGCCCCATTGCAACATATCTTATTCCTTTGTCTCCACGAGCGGGTGGAAACAAAATCTGCAGCTCCATCGTTGTTTTACTGACCCCCCCGAAACCAACCAGCCAACAAGTACTTCTACCACGAGTGGTAGTGTTTGTATCGTTGTTGTTCTAGTCGTAGGAGGAGGAGGAGGAGTAGTAGTAGTAGCAGTAGAAGATACTAGTGGTAGTAGTAGTAGTAGTAGTAGCAGTAGTAGTAGTAGCAGAAGTAGAAGTAGAAGTGGAAGTAGTAGTAGAAGTAGTAGTAGCAGTAGAAGAACCAGTTGTGGCCTAGTAATACTAGTGGTAGTAGAGTAGTAGTAGCAGAAGCAGAAGTAGAAGTGGAAGTAGTAGTAGTAGGAGGAGGAGTAGTAGCAGTAGCAGTAGTAGTAGTAGTAGCAGTGGTTGTAGTAGTAGTAGTAGCAGTAGTAGAAGTAGTTGTGGCCTAGTAATACTACTAGTACTACTAGTAGTAGTTGTTGTTGTTGTAGTTGTAGTTGTAGTAGTAGTTGTAGTAGCAGTAGTAGTACTAGTACTAGTACTAGCACTATAGTAGTCGTAGGTGTAGTAGTAGTAGTAGCAGCAGTACTAGTAGTAGTACTAGTAGTGGAAGAAGAAGTAGTAGTAGTAGTAGTGGTGGCCGTAGCCGGTCAGCCAAGCCTCTGTAAAACTTTTACTTAGAACCTCTACACAATGAATGCAATTGCGCGTTCGGCTCTTTTTGCTCGACGAGGCCAGTCGCGGCCAACGTAACGATGCCAACGCCTGCGGCACACCCTACAAGACCATGGCAAACCGAAAAACGGACCAGCTCAGACTTCAGTGAAACAAGACCAACAAGTCCACCTACTTACGAAACCAACATTCGCTCAAACCCTCAACCGTATCCCTAACCTTGCCTCCTTGAAGTTCCAAAGTTATAAAATGTGACAATTATGTTGGGCGGCTGGTTTTGTTACTACTACTACTACTACTACTACTACTACTACTACTACTACTACTA